ATTTGCCCAATAAACTTTGAGCTTATTACTTTTGTTGTGATGTTGTAAATAGAATTAAAAAGTTCATTCAGAATCTTTTAATTTTTTTTATTATTTTCTGAAAAGAAAGATTGATGTGTAAAGCCTCCCCTGCTCTCTGGGCTGCAAATTAATCTCAGTTATAATCTCAGATATGCAATGAGGTACTATTTGGACGAGCTGCCTGCCTCACTGCTAAGAACATACCCGGTGGAAGTTATTGAAACTGTCCCCTCACCGCCAACATTAATGAAAAAGCTAATCTTCTTTAAGTCTCCTCTAGCCTAGCAATCTCTTAAGGGGCTGGATCCATGATTAAAAAACAGAAAGAAAGCAGCTGTCTTTTTATCCTTCCTTAATTATTCTGTGGTAGTTGATAGGTGTCGGTTTCCTGGGAGTGTCATGGTGATGGAGGTTACGTTTCCCTGTGTTGGGACTGAATGTTCACAGGGGGGGTAGTTGAATGCTGCAGTGGGAGCTTTGGAGATGGAAAGAGTGAGTCTTGTTTTCTGCAATTTCATCTGATGATGAAGGGCTGCCTTTTATTTGGAAACATGCACCTAAAGGCCAAAAACAGCTATCCAATGTCAAGGCAAGAAAGGATCTTTAATTACCTTTTTTCTTGGTTTTTTTTTTTTCTTTCTTTCTGTGTACCTCACCAGCTGGTGACCAGGGGCATTTTAGAACAAGCTTAATTAGAAAGTCAAAAATAACCCCTTGCTTTTTTCCTGCTGTAACTTGGTGAGTAAACTCCAGTAAGTGTTGCAGGCTTGTTCTTTCACTGCTCTGCCCAGTCTTCATGGCTTCATTTTAAAAACAGGAGTCACTAAATACTTATTAGTAAATCAAAGATGATTATGAGCGTTGTGCCTGCATTTTTAACTAGTTCTGACTGACTATGAGCCACAAAGTGTCTGATCCCTGCTTGGAAGTGTCCAGCTCTCTCAGCTTGGTTTCAAGGAAAGCTTACAACACTGCAGATTTTTTAGGAAAATTTTCTGTTCCCTCTGGTGCACCTACAGATTTGCTTGTCTAATTAAACAAGAGATAAGGCTTCTGTCCTTTGGCCCTGCTCTGTGCCACTTGCACTGGCATTGAGTGACAGTCACCAGAAACACCTACTGTGCTCCTCTGCAAGTGCAGCTACCTTTTCACAAATGTTAGAATCAGGAAGCTCTAACTTCCAGCCCAAGGAATAACCCACTTGACATCTGAGAATGGATTATTCTTAGTGCCCCAGCAATACCTAAACCAGGGATATTAATTGTTTGTGCTTCAGTTTCAGCACCTGTAGACTTGGAAAAATTAATCTTGCAAGAAAGCAGGAGAAAGAATGGGTTTGGAAAGCATTCGAAGTTGTTATTTAGGTGAACAGAGGGACATAAGATTAGATTTACTTGTCCTAAAACAGGTAAATATTCAAAGTAGATTTCCACCCATAATATTTTTGTAAAATGAAAAGCCAACAGCAAACAAATAACTTTGAGTATGAATCTATCTGGTTTCCCTTCTGCAGCCATCTTCCATGGCAGCTGTGTGACACAGAGACAATGTACAATTTCTAGGAAGCCTGATTTGTGGAATGGGGTTCGTATTGGTCTGGATGTGTATTTTAAAGTAAAGTCTCAGGCCGAGGTACCTTCAGCTGATCATTTGCTTGCATGCATGCAAACTTGTTATTTCTTTGGCTATTTTTTTAGGTTGGAAAGATATGTCAGTGGTGAGCTGTACCTTCTGGGTATGTTGCTACATACATCACAAATTGCTCTTAGGCTGAACTCTTACAGCTGAAACACTTTTCCCTATGCTGAAAATAGTAATTGGGCTGTTCCCACTAACCAACCACAGGTAACTACTCTCATTTTGGAAAATGTTGTGGTTTCAGGCATCCTGAGCTGTGGTAACATAGTTACTAAAATTGAAACTATATGGAAGTCAGGTATTTTAAGTTATTAGATTTGGGGGAGGGGGGGGTTCCATGGACACTAGACTTTCAAGTATTAGTCACCTTGTGTGAGTGATAATCGTAAGCACCCAGCTGTTACCTACTTCTGGGATCTGAAAGTGCATTTTATTATTGAGCAGGATACAAGCTTTAGTATGATACACCTAAGCAAGCACATTCGTGCTTCTCCCTTAGGAATGCTAGATGTAAAAAATCCAGTCTTACTGATGAAAAACTTGCTTCCCAACCCATTACTGGAATGGGTCCATTATCCATTCCTTCCATATACCCTTACTTCTCTACAGCTCAGTCCAAGGAGTGCTTTGGGCAAGCACTGCACTCCGAGCAGGACATCCTTTTCTCTTGCTTTGTGGCCGTCTCCATTTCCAATCCATCTTTGCTGGGCTTATTCTTTACCTCTAGTGATGCACCACTGCCTGCTGGTGAGAAGGTGTTTCACTTCCTCATTTGGAAACCCTTCCACCAACATCAGCTGTTGTTGCTTTTGTGCATGCTTTCGGTTTCCTCTAAGCTCTAAGCACCTTGTGGAGGGTAGACTGGATGTGATTTTTTGGAGGCTCTAATCCAGTATCACTCCACTTGAAGCCCTGTGGGACAGATGGGCAGTCAGTACTTTTAAAAACCAGGCTGCTTCCCTTTTTATTTGTTTATGGAAACAACTGTGTGTAATTATGGTTCCATGATTCCATGATTCTACTGAAATATTGCTACTTTTATGAGCTATTGTCTCTTTACTTGCCTCAACTTTGAATCTCCTGATTTCTAAGCAACTGAGTCTAAAAAAGCTGTATAGAAATAGGGCTTCAACCAAAAAAAAAAATCTCAAAATAGCATGTCTCTATTTTAGAAGTGACTGAAAAGCTGAAGATGTTGATTTGAAATTCATGGTACTTCAACAGCTTCAGTTTCTGTGTTTAATTGCATTTATAATATAATAAAAATAAAAACTGTCTCACCTCATCTCCTATGCATTTGCTATGCCATTTGATCCCATACAGGGAAAAATTACAGTAGTAGCTTCTCTCTCCTCTTGAGTATTTGGAAAGGGAAACCCAAACATAAACATATTCCATGTTACACAAGCATACTACCAGAGATGCAATTATTTTTCCGAATGCAAAGGGTCACACTTCCAGGTACCTAAATATCCTATAGACATTAAACATTATTTAGTTGTTCAGCAGTGAAAGTGGGCTGTTTATTAACTAGAACTTGCTATTTGACATCTGCTAGTGTAATTCTGAATGTGAGCTTGCTGATAGATTAAAATAATCTAGGTATTTTTGTTAGGAGTTGACAATTAAAAAAGGAAGAGAGGGAAGGGATTTTAGAGAGTGAAGTTTGGAGGCAGCATAGAATGGCTTGGGTTGGAAGGGACCTTAAAGATCATGTCGTTCCAAACCCTCTGCCATAGGCAGGGACACTTTCCATTAGACCAGGTTGCTCCAAGCCCTATCTAACCTGGCCTTGAACACTTCCAGGGATGGGGCAGCCTACTCTCAGTTTAAAGCCATTCCCCCTTGTCCTATCACTACACTGTCCTGTAAATAGTCTTTCCAGCTCTCATCAGCCCCCTCTAAGACCCTATGAGGTCTCCCCATAGCCTTCCCTTCTCCAGGCTGAACAACTCTAGTTCTCTCCTCCTGTCATCACAGGAGAGGTGCACCATCCCTCTAATCATCTTGGTGGCCCTCCTCTGGACTCGTTCTGGCAGGTCTAAGTCCTTACTGTGCTGGGAGCCCCAGAGCTGAATGCAGTACTGCAAGTAGGGTCTCACAAGAGTAGAACAGAGGAGAGAAAATACCTCAGACTTGCCTAGCTTGCATCTTCCAATGGTGATGACATTTCTGGGAACTGAGGATTCTCTCCTAAAGCCTCCCGTTCTGCAGAACATCACATTGCTGCACACCTGCAGCTGTGAAGTGTTGAGGATTTGTAAGCAGGATCCTTACTCCATGGAGGTCTTGAGGGATTAGTAGCGGGACTTGTTGCCAAATAAGGTGCCATCAAGCTCTGGCCATTGCTGTTTAGGTAGATAGTATCTCTCAACTTCTTAACTGTGTGATCTGTTTGTTGAGCCTTGTCAAATGATGGATTTAAAGAGTCAGAAGCATAGAAGTTCAACATGGGCTATTGAACTAAAAGAATGCAAAGTTCTCAATTAGTATACAAAAAGTATATTTCTCTAAAAATGACCTCCAACACTACATTTTCATAATCAAATCCCTGACTCTCTTATGCCCAACAGATGAGAAATTTCAGAGACACTATCAGAGATATATGTATCAGGAGAAGTTAGGCACTCAAATGCCTTGCTATATGCCAAAGTCCAGTATTTACAGGTCACTGGCATTCACAGGGCCTCCACTTAACCCTCTCGAATGGAACTAAACCCAGGTCTCTCACATCCTTGGCTGAATGCTGAAGTTGTTGGACTTCTCAGTAAAATGGTGGCTTCTTTGTGGGCAGTATGTGTTGTTGGATTAGGCTTGTCAGAGAAGGTCTCAGAGGGAATGCCTGTTTCAAGGATGCTGAGCAAGCCTTTGTATGAGATGGACCTTAAGCGGGTCAGCAATGCCAGGCCTCAGGCAGTTAAGCTCACACTCAGCCCCAGAAGTGTGGAGTCTATCCCTGGAAATGCAGCCAGAGGGAAGTTCAGCACTTGTAAGGTGCAGCAGAGGTTTTTGAATGACAGTGGGACCAAAGGATGGACAAAATATGCATCAACAGTGTAATCTAGGGGTGCTACCTTCTCCTTGTGCATTGAAGCCTCAATGCAGAATGGTCTCTTCCTATTACATTTTGATTTAGGGACGTAGAGGAATGAGGTTAATGCATTTATTCAACATGCCCTGTGAAAATATTTTAAGACTACCTTCTCTGTGTAACTATCTTGACTCTTACCAGCTCCTTCAGTCAGAGTCCGCACCAGCGTGAATGCAATTTCCATGCATTGTTTCAGTCTGGAAATGAAACAATTTTCATTAATGGAAACCTGGTTCTCAAGCAGAACAATTAGACCCACTTCAGGTTGAAAAAAGATAAAAGCATGCTAATTTGGATGGAGGACTCTTCTTTCAAGGCAGCCAATTGAGTCATCAGCCTGCCACCCACCTGACTGTCTGACAGGTAATTAGGAGATAGTCCTCTTTTTGTGTGGAGCGTGTGCGTAAACCTCCACACGCTGGTGTCACTGCCCATTGGGACTTCCAGAGGAAAGAGCTTGTCAGTGGCAAAAGAGTGAGGAGAGCATGTTTGTCAGTCGTTGCCCAATGAACTGACTTGGCTTTTTTTTATGTAGCTCATTATTTTTGTCTTTTCAGCAGCTACCTGAAGTTTCTGGCAGTAAAGTCGTCATGGCAGACCTGGGCTGCAAAAAACCCAGCGACTGCACCGTCTCCAGGCTGCTCAGCGTAGTGGAGAGTGAACTCCGGGCTGGGAGAGACAAAGGCGACCCCACTGAGAAACAGCTCCAGGTTGTCTTAGAGGATGCGACGCTCTGGCAGAGATTCAGGGAAGTCACTAATGAGATGATCGTGACCAAGAACGGCAGGTGAGTGATCTGGGGGCTGAGTGTAGGTGACAGCCAGGGGGGTTAAGTGCTATAATAATAAACTGTGTGTGCAGACTCGAAAGAACTGCAATGAGCACACAACAGTTTTTAGGGGATTGCATCCTCATAGTCCCCTAAAACCAGCATATGAACAAAATGGGGTGTCCCTGCTCCTCTTTGGTCACTGCCAGACCACTCCTGCCACCCATTATTCCTGCTTTGAAACATGCTGGAAAAATATATTGACTGACTTAAGGCTGCACAAAAAGGGAACTTTTGCAAGGGAATAGATGTACCTCTCAAAACCTTTGGAATGACTTTTTGTGCTAATAACCACTAGCCTTTATTAGCAAGTCCTTACCTGTAGACCTCAAATTACTGTACAGAAGCAGATTGGTGCTGTTATCCCAGCTGCAGTTTTCATCTCTCTGGCCTTGGATATTAACAGCTTTACAAGCAGTCTGTACTAGAATGGGGTATAATAAAACTGTGTTCTATGTGGTATATATGTATGTATGCATGGTCCCACACTGGCATGGCTCCATAGTTTTTGCTGGTGCCCTTAGAAACCAGTGCAGAATATTGGCTAACATACATAGTTTTAGAAAGACAAAATATTGTGATGTTATTGGATAACATATCTTACTATTTGGGGAACATGGAAAGGCACAGGAAAAGAGTGCAAAACCTGTCAAGAAGGATACTCTTTCTGAACCAGGCACTGGCTTGAGGGAGGCTCTCCACAGAGGTTCTGCTCTGAATTGGGCTAACAGCAGAGTCCAGCCCACAACAGACAAGCAGCTACTAAAATAAAGGTTTGCCAGTACAGTGGAACTAAGGTTTTCATTTAATGCACCCTCTGCTGCAACTCCCATCCCCACCCCCCAACATGCATACGTTTCTTTTGCGAGACCTCTCAGGAGATCCACGTACGAGAGAGGAATTAAGAGATGGAAATTTACTCATGTGGACTTTCATTGATTTTGCAGTCTTCATTTTAGCAGAATTTGGGGATGAAATTACTGTTGGCTGTAGTTTGACAAGGGACATAGGAGAAAGCAGTAAAAAGGAAAAATCTAGTCTATCGGCTCAGCAGGGTTACTCTGGTAAGACAACAGCTACCTGCCCAAAATACCAGCTCCTGGGTAACAGTACCTGTTGCCATTCTGATTCCTCTTATAAACTACAGTGATAGAAATCTGCTGCTGAGGTTCTCCTTACACCGAGAAGCTGCTTTTGCTTCATTTAAATTGCTTTAAAAACTGCTGTTAGGCTACAGCAAACTTCTGAGTGGACTTACTCTTAGTATACAGTAGTTTAAACTGACTCCTTGGCAGCAGAAGTGACCAAAAATGAGGTAAGAAAGGTTTGCCTAAAATTCATTAAATTGGTGCAAAGAATTGCACCTTACCAACAGGCTTTTTTCAGTTTCTTTCCTCTCAGCTAATATAAATCATGACTGCATTGTGATATTAGTTCCCTCTAAAATGTCAGGGTGAGTGCATAGACAAAATCTTTTTATGATGATGAGGAAATCTATCTGAATGTGTTTTGTTACTTTTTATTTCATTGTGTAAGCTGCCTTATTTTTGTTATTCTAACTTATACATGCCTTATCAGCTTGATTCTACCTTTTCTAAAACCCGTGACATCTCTAGTAATGTCAGTGGGGGCAGGAATAGGTTCTTTATGATCAAAGTAACAAACTACAGAAGTATGTCACACAGTCATCTGCATAAGTCCTTTTACCAAAGTTACTGTAGCATCAGGGACAATGAGAAAGGATCTCTTGTGTTTCTGAAAGTATCTTTCATAAAAATCACATTATTGCACCAAAAAGAAAAAAAAAAAAGGAAATACAAACTGTGGCCTGCAACAAAGATCTCTGAACAAGTCCAGGCTATTCAAAAAAAGACAAACTTGAGACAGCTTCCTATGAGTGCTGAGTTTTTTTCAGGTTCAGAATTCTTGTCTCCAGAGGGATTCTCAGTAGAAAAAATATTGACCTTATGCTGCTGCTGCTTCAATCAGTATAACTAACTCAATCATTCCTGCTGAAGGGTATACAAATGTTTTTGAAAACCGTGTTCCACTATGAAAGAGAAGAGCTGGTCTAAACTTACTGTGTGTGAAAACTAAAACAGTTGGTACGGACATGTTAGCAAAACCCAGAAATTAAACCGAAACCTGATCCAGGAGCATCCCAGAGAATGAAAGTCTAATTGACTAGTGATCCTCAGGCATCAAATTCTAGCATGCACAGTTCTATCTGCTCTTATTGCATCATCTCTAATTGGTACCAAGGGTCCCAAAATGCCACAGTTAGATGAACCATCTTCAGTTAGTACATAGATTTGTCTCCGTGGCTGTATTATAATTCATTATAATAATCACCTGCCCTAGCAATATGTCTAGGTATACAGGGAAGGTAGATACATTCTGACCAGGATAGACATCACTAAAATTAAACCACGTGGTTTATCGCAAAATACATCCCAATGGTTGCAGCCGATACAGTGGGAAACCATCTCCGATTTTACTCAGATTTGTTGTATCCAACTGACACTTCAATGTCAAATGCTCTTTTTTCTGATTCAGTAGGTTTTCTGTCTCAGTGGTTATACCATATTAGGTATGCAGCATCCTGAGACTTTGCAATCCCCATTACTGCCTGGAGGCAGGAAGGCACTGATCTCCTCTGATGGGAACAATCCACAGGGGATCAATGAAGGCAAATGTGAGTAGGGGGAAAGAAGGCCTTTGCAGCCTTAAATGCTAAAGCAGCTTTACTGGTTCCTGCACATTCAAGGGAAGATGTATCAAACATCTTCCCACTCAAGTTCTGTACTGTGGAGTAATGGTAGCAGATCTGCTCTAAATAAATTCAAGAGGCTGAAGTTCGCATTTGTTGCAGTAATGGGGGTCACATGTGCACCTACTTGATCATTGAAACAAACATTCTGACTGAAACAAATTTGGAGAAATCACCATTTGCCAGGCTAAAAGACAGATATTAGCAATAAAGCCACTTTAATCAGCTGAACAAGTTCTCCATGGTAAGTTCTCCATCATTTAAATCTGTACAGTCAAGACATGCTGGTCCAAGCAAGGCAGGCATTAATTCTGAGGGAAGCTGGTTAACACAGGGAAATACTATAATCTTGATGCTGTAGGAGGTTAGAGTTGATGATGACTGTATTTTCTTCTGGCATTGGTCTATAGGTCCTTTGGGGATAAACTCGAGCCTCTCAAATAGAAAGGCAGAGAAGCCTGCATTGTGGGCAGAGGAATTAGCAACCTGTATGTAACAGAAATCACCCTGAGAAATGTAGTGAAATTAAATTTTCATGTGATTTATTTTCCCCTCTAATTCAATTTCATCTATATATCTAAATGTGTTACTTTGAAGACCAACTGTAGAAGGTCTAAGGGATGGAGGGAGCAACGCATCCATAATTTTTATCACATCAATTGGGTGGCTGGTACATCCTGGTCAGAAAGATACATGTAGCATATAAATCCTCTAACTGGAGAGGGACTTTTTAGACAGCAGTGGAGTGATACAACAACGGGTAACTGCCTTAAACTGAATGAGAGCAGTTTTAGATTAGATATTAGGAAGAAATTCTTTACTGAGGGCAGTGAGGCACTGGAGCAGGTTGTCCAGAGAAGTTGTGGGTCTCCCATCCCTTATGTGTTCAAGGCCAGGTTGGATGGGGCTTGTTGCACCTGGTCTAGTAGAAGGTGTCCCTGCCCATGGCAGGGGTTTGGAACTGCATGATCTTTAAGGCCCCTTCCAACCCAAACCATTCTATGTTTCTATAATTATTCTATGATATCTTCCTCAGTGTTGCACTGACCCTACATCACCAATTATCAATATTAGACGAAAAATCTCAAATTTCTGAAATCCTGCCTTTTCCTGTGAGCAGAAGGTGCTGAATATATACAGCAAGAACTATATAAAAGTATCCAGAAAGGTAGGTGGTGAGTGGGATGTCATGGGAGAATGATTGTTAGCAATCTGTATTTGAGTGTCACAAGAGAGTATGGCTGCAGGGGCAAAGACTTTCAGTCTCCCTCGAAAGAGCCTGGAGTTTCAGCTCCTTTATGTATTTTGGATGTCTTGCACCACGGCCTAACTAAGCCTAGAGAGCTACCTTAGCCCCATGGCCACAGACCTCAGGCTATTGCAGTGGTTTTTTTGGTGTAACCAGTCTCCCTGCACCCATAGAGAAAAGGAGCTCAAAGATTCATTGGCCTGCCCATAAAAATGTGTCATGGAAAAATGCCAGTTGCCAGGAGAGGTCAGTGTAGAGGTGTCTGGGGCAGGAAGGCCTGTGACTCATGTGAGAAGAATGTTGGAGGTGATACATAACAGCAATTACATATGTTCCTTGACAAGCTAAGAATAGGATATCTTTGTTGGGAGACTCCTCTGTTCTTCTGACCACAAATTATTCCCAGTTCCTGAAACTGTAGGAGTTTACTAACTCTTTTGCTGCAGACTTTCAGGCACAGAGGTGTCAATTCAAAGCTGTGCAGCATCAGTCACAAGCACTGGGACAGGCAGAACACTGCTGGAAGTCAAGCTGTGAGCTCCTGCAAATCTGTATTACAAAAGAAAAAAGAATAGTTAAAAGGGGATTGAGGAAAGGTGGCATGGACCTTTAAGCACAAAAGGAGTATTTTCCTCCAGCTAAGCACAGGTAGGATTTTAGTTTTAAATGCACAAGATCGTGGAAGGCTGGATAGATGTTTAGAGCTTAGAAAAGGACAACATTGCATGTAAGATGGAACTAAAAGCAAAAGAGCCTGATCAAGCAGATGAGGTCAAGGAATATGGAAGTACGGGACCAAATTACTGGAAGAACTGCCAAGTGCAAGGTACAACGGCAAGGATTTTAACCAGAACTTCTCAAACTGGATAATTATATGATTGTAATGGGACAGTATGTGAATAGTTGCACTTAAGAAAGGGAGAAAAAAAGTTTCAGCTAACTACAAACTTTTTAATATATCCCTATATTAAGAATTTAGGATGTACTTTGAATGAAAGAGTAATGAAATATGTGGAAAACAATGGAAAATTATATAAAAAGGCATTTTATTAAATTTAACTCATGCCATACCAACATGACACAACCCTGATAATTTAAAGAAAATTTTTTAGACAAGGAAAATGTAGCAGATTAGGGCATTTAGAATTGTGCTACCTGGAAATCACTACTCAAGTGGGAGATGTTGGGTAGAACAACACAAGAACCATGGGAACTGATAGAGGGAACTGACCGACTTTGCTCACAAAATTCTAGAATATGACCATCCCTTCAGAGGAAGAAAGAAAACTTTTTTGTATAGAGTAGTGTGGTCAATAAATCTAACTGGTGTCTGTTGAATACCTCATTAGTATTAAGTCCTGATTGCTGGATAGTGCAGGATGATTTCAGAGGATATATCCAGAGTCAGTCAAAGTGGGACTTGGCCACGGGACAGAACATGGTAGAGTGTAACAAGGTCAATCTAAACACCAAAGTGCACTTTTTAATAGGATTCTGCAGTGAAGCTGTGGTTCAGCTCCACCTTCTCAGTCATTTTCAGCTCTGTCTAAAGCTGTTTGTTCTTTCTGGTTCCACACCTAAGGATGTATTTACCATGTCCAGATCCCATGGATTCTGATGATCCTATACACATCTCATTATGTTCGTAATTCTTGGCATGATCAAGACCTTAGTGCCCTACTTTAAGATAACATGAGTTTTTTTCCAAATGATTGAACTAAAATAAAATAAAATATTAACCTTTAAGAGACTTCTTCAGCTGGATAGAAGGAGGGAGTGAGGAAGGATGTTTTTTACACTCAACTATTCTGTGAGCATCTGGACACAAACATACTGAGGAGAGTCTTCAAAACCATTTTCCAGTGATGTCTCCCTTTTTTGTTTCCTCGGCCAGGCGGATGTTCCCCGTTTTGAAGATCAGCGTGTCAGGCTTGGACCCAAATGCCATGTATTCCTTCCTGCTGGACTTTGCTCCGACTGATGGCCACCGATGGAAGTACATCAATGGAGAATGGGTGCCAGCTGGGAAACCAGAGCCACCAAACCACAGCTGCGTCTACATCCACCCAGACTCTCCCAACTTCGGGGCCCACTGGATGAAAGCTGCCATTTCCTTCAGCAAAGTCAAACTTACCAACAAGCTCAATGGGAGTGGGCAGGTATGGCCTGATGTTTCCACATACACCTCCTGGCTTCAATTGCAAGCACCTACCAATCAAGAAATATCAAGGGTGCATTTATGTAATTATAGAAGCCCTTACAGGCCTCTTCACCCACAGATGCCAATTATTCTCTGGAGGCCAAATGTAAACAGGGATAAACAGGCCTTAATTGGCACTTTCAGATTTTAATGGACTTCTTGATGTTAAGAGAGACAAAGTGCTGTGGTTTACTTAATCATCAGGGAGCTTTTCAGAGTTGGTCTTGTGTGCTGGGGATTTTTACATAGGACTTCAGAGAAAGAGGGGAAAAATGGCCACGGGTATTAGGTTTTTGTTGTGTTCCCCAATGCTGTTTGGTGTAAGTGGAATGTTGGCAGGAGTCAGATAGCAGAATAAAAGGCTGCTCCTAAATGAAATAATTGCTATGTCTGCTTCTGCATCATGATAATTATCAATATTCTATTGAATCAGCTTTGGCCTTTGGAAAGAAACCACATGTACCATAAAATAAGTGACTTTCTCTTTGAACCCCTTAAAAATGCAAACAGGGAAATTACTTTTATTTCATATTTTATTTTTGATGATGCATCTAAAGGCAAAATGTTGCACAAGACCTTTTGTTTGCTCATTTGTTTAGTACAAAACTCCTACAGAGGATGATACTTGTCAGCCCAGAATCAATTTTTTCCACGTAAATGTTATACATTTTCTATTTGTTGTTTTCATTAGGTTTGTGAGGTACTTCCATAAGCCTAGTACCCTAATTAGGTAGGAAATTATCTCAGTTTTCACAGACTGGAGAACAGGAAGATGATCTGACTTTTCATAAGTCATACAGGGAACCAGCACACAAGAATGACTGTGCAGCATAGAACAGGATCTGAGCTTGCAAATGCTTTTCTTGCATCCAGGACCTCAGAAAAAATATGCATGGGAGGAAAAAAAAGCTACAGGAAACTTGGAGGGTCGAAGAGACCCTAGGAAAAAAGTACAGGGGAACATGGTATGTATATATGATGAAGTGGAGAGGAAGCAGGGGAGGAAAAGCTATATGAGAAAGCTATATGAGAAACAGAGCCCAGACAACAGTCACCAAATAACAAATGACTGAAGCTTCCCTTGTTTTCTTTTGAAATCTTGACAACAGTGTTAAGGTAAACCATTCTGTGCTTCAGCTTCCCATTATATGATAGTATTAGAAAGTAGTAGCTGACTAGCAGTGCTTTATGCTAATAGCTGTGTTCTTTCTTATATATATGTATGTATGTATCTATGTATCTATGCATACATCACTTTGCAAAGTATAGATTTAACAAAAAAATCTTTTTCTTGAAGTAGAGATAATAAAACAATTTAATTTAATAGCCCAGAATCAATGCTATTCATAGCTTTTAATGCCAGGTTAGAGAGATCTGCCAAGATTTGTTTAGATACACTTCATCTTGCCCAGAGAGGTGACTACGTGACTCCCTCAGCTCCCTCCTGTCCCCACTTTCTGTGATGGTGATTCTCTGAGTCTTTCAGATAGTAGAAGAAGGACAGGGAGTGCCCTGCTCTGTTTCAGCAGCCTCTACTGCAGTGGAAGCCCAATGGTTTGAGGGCCATAGCTGCTGATACAAATATTCACTAATGCTGCTGTTTAAAAAACTTTAAATACAAGTCCAGTGAAGTCTCATTCTGTTCAGCCCTGTGGTTTTCATAAGGGAAGGGAAGTGGTCACAGCACCAAGCCTGTCTGAGTTCAAGAAGCATTTAGATGATACTCTCCAGCACATGGTGTGACTCTTGGGGATGGTCCTGTGCAGGGATCCCTATGGGTCCCTTCCAACTCTGTTTATTCTGTGATCCTGAGAAGACGGTACCTGTCCTTCTGTTTCAGTCATCACTGACCGGGAGGTTTAACAGTGACGTCTGGTCTGTTATCAAGCCAGAGCAAAAGAGCAGCTGTGAGATACCAGAGTGGTGTCTTTCTCTCTGTTTTGCTTTCTGCAGATAATGTTGAACTCCCTGCATAAATATGAGCCCCAGGTACACATAGTTCGCGTGGGAGGCCCCCACCGGATGGTGATGAACTGCTCCTTCCCTGAGACGCAGTTCATAGCTGTGACTGCCTACCAAAATGAAGAGGTGGGTGGATGCCACACTGTGCTCTTGGTCACCATTGATGAGATATATTAAAAGGTTATTATCTACAAGACCAGCCTGCTTTTTTCTTGTTTCCCCATCAGTCCCATGCAGTGTAATGTTCCATCCAGTCTAATACTCTGTTGTCTCTCTGCAGTAGAACATTGACTGATCTGGAGTCTGGCTGCAGTACTAAGCCAGGCTTAGCTTAATATCCTGCCACAGCTGTTCCAGACTAGTCCATCTGTCCTGGCATCCCAATCCTTTACTGGAAAAAAACAAAGAGCCCTACAACCCTACAGTCAAGTCCAATATCTTTCTCCAGCAATAACTGATAGTTATAATGATAACCCTCTCTCTCCCTGCTCCTTATAGTACATAAAATTGTGTAACAGCACAATATTCCATGGAAAAATTTCTTCCCAGTCCTGAAAATGTAATTGATATATACTTTGGACTGTGAGAATTGCTAACTCCCGTGTCACATCTGTTAGCTAGTATTGCTGCAGATTTTATTCATACTTGATGGGAATTTAGTGTTTAAACTCTTGAAATGGTCCACCATCCCACAGGATTTGCCAGACTAACTCATGCCAGGCTGCCCCAACTGGTGTTCTGCCTGTGGCACTGATGAGTACACAGCACTCGGCAACGAGCAAAACTGTCTCCTAACTAGCCCAGGAAAACATAAAGTGTGGAGATATATTTTAGGCTAACCCAGAAAGTTTCACTTAAGATTATTCTGGAAGATGTTTTATAAAGTTTCTATTCCAAATTGCCTTCACTAACATGCTTTGTTTTCTGTAAACTCAAGATAACAGCTCTCAAAATCAAGTATAATCCCTTTGCCAAAGCATTCCTGGATGCAAAGGAAAGGTGAGTTAATCTTTTTTTGCTCTGTAGCTCTTTTGTTTTTTTATCAGTAGCATTTTGCTGCTGATATGGTTAAAACCATTGCATCACAATATGAAAGAAAAATGGCATAATTGAATCTTGTTTCTACTGTTTTAAATCCAGAGTTTCTCCACTGATATTAGTGGGGAGAATCTGTATAATTATTACGATAGTGTCTCAAATGGGTGAATATCCTGTTGGGGATTCTAGGACTTAACACTGTCTGCACGGGAAGTCTGAGATGAGATGGTGTGAACTTCCCCAGTAATGTTATACTCGGCATATGGTCACTAAATTGTACTTGCACTCCAGTGAATCCTGTAATTTGATAGGTCAGGGAGAATAAAAGTTAACTGCAGATGTCAAAAAGCATAAGTGAAATGAAATTGCACTGTAACTGTAAGTACACTACTGTTATTAAAACTGTGCGATAATGTATGGCGTGTTCATTAAAAGTAACCCGTATGTGCGAAGATGTACGTATGTAAGATGTCAGAGATGCTTCCATTGGAAACAAATTGTGGTTTATCTTTTGAAATTTTGCTTGCATCATCTGTTTTACTGCAGAGAGGCATCCAAATGATGCATTCCAGCCCATAATTGCTAACAGATTTTGTTTAGACCTGCTGTGTCTTTTGACACGTGAAGTGCCCCACGTGCCTGAAGGAGAATCTGTATTTCCTTTCATTCCTCTCATCACTTAAGCTGTTGTGTCTCAGCATCAGGGTTTGCAGTTGCAGAAGTGGGAATGCTGCCTTCAGCTTGCCTGGCTGAGCAGGAGGCAAAGCCCTGCCTTGGTCTGGGGAGGAGGCCTGCAAGGAGGAATGGTGCCCACAGGTAGATTTAGAACTCCAGGTTCAGCCCCCAGATATGGCACAAACTTACAAACATTTTTGTGTATGTTGTTTCCTTTATGGCAGAATGTGGAAAGGTCTACTGCTGCCTAGCAAGTAGTTAAGGAAGATGGATTTCTGCCTCTTTTTAACTCACTTCTCCAATTTTTAGTGAACAGTTCTGTTTATAACTTTCATGATTTTTCAATGAGAAGTTTTACCACTAAATATTTTCCTTTTCAGAAATCATTCTAAGGATGCTCCAGAGACAGTCTCTGAAGGTCAACATATGACATATTCTCACAGTAAGGTTTTTATTCATGTCAGCTGGAAGTTTTGTGTGGTATGATGGGTGCTGGCAAGCTGCAACTTACTTAACTGGCTCATAACTGGCTCAGTCATTTACTGAGTGCAGAATTTTGTTCATAGAAAGAGACCCTTTAAAAAAAAAAAGAAGATTGAAGAAACCTCACAGTAGAAAACAATGTGAAAGGGTCTGCAGAGGGATCATTTTCCTTGTGATCCAGTTTTTCAGTATTAAAAGGAATCTAGAATCAAGATGATATACGACATTTTTACTTTCTTACCCCCTTTTTTTATTTTGTATTTGTAACTCAATATTTTTGCCACCTATAAAATTATCTTTCATTGGTAAACAGGTAAAAATGGGGGGAGCAGAGTTTTTGTTTGTTTTAATGATAGTTTTTCTTTCATTTGTTCTTTGGTGTTCGTGATATATTCTGGTAGTTGCTTTCAGGTCTTGTTTTTAGGGTTGGTGGTTTGGGGCTTTTGGGGCATTTTGTTTTTTGGGGGGCATTTTGATTTTTTTTGTCAGTTGTCCTGAAAACCAGTGTCTTGGACTCACCTGGTATTTCTGAGGCACGGGTAGTTCTGCAAGAAGGCTGGTTGCTTTCTTAATTGTATTGCAGCATTTTTGTGCAATAATAATAGTTTTCTTCTCTCTTTCCCCTCAAAGTGGGTGGCTGGTTGATTTCCAACCCTGATGCAATGTGTGCACCGGGAAGCTCTAATTATCAGTACAGTGGGCCTCTGCCTCTGCCAGCTCCACACACTCCCCACAGCTGTGAGAGGTATTCAGCACTGCGGGGCCATCGGGCTGCTCCATACCCACCTCCCTACATGCAGAGAAGTCATTCACCTACAGGTACTGCTGTAAAACATTGCTTTGTTTCCTCTGCCTGCCTGACCCTTGCTTTAGGTTAGCACAAGCATTGAGACAAACATAAGCTGAGGCTAGGAAAGAGCACGATGAGTGTCTGTAACAATCTGGACTGAACCCGTCATGCACTGAGTATGTTTAAGGCAGCAAAACAAGAGGTACAAAGAGCTGGGTGCACTGTAACTGTTAATTATAAATGAGAGTGTATGACCTCGCTTTAAGTGTAGCTCCCAATTATACAAAAAGAGCACTGCATGTCTTCTTTCAGTGTCATGCCATGATGCAGTTGAGCTCTCAAGTCGAAGCAGCTTTCAAGAACATGGTAGGAGCTGATGTGAGATGAAAGCATTTGGTTATTGGCAGAACATCTTTTGAGTCCCTTTCACTTTCTAGATCTGGGCCCTGAGTTTCAGAAATTGGTTCTACTTCGATCAGAAAAAGTTGATCAGAAAGAAGAGTAAGGATAAAGTAATCTGCTTGCTAATTATAATTTATCAAGAATTCCTGTTTAATGGAAATATTTATCATAGAATCATAGAATTGTTTGACTTGAAAGAGACCTTAAAGATCATCTTGTTCCAACCCATCTCCCATGGACTGGGGCATTTTCCAGTAGACCAGGTTGTTCCAAGCCCCATCCAACCTGGCCTACATCAAGAGATGGGGCAATATTTATAAAACTTGATTAAGTATTTAACCTCGAATTATAAGGAAATATGTATCAAAACATTGCCAGATATATGTCAATTATTAATGAAAAACTATTATTCAGGCTTGCAAAAAGGCATATCATATGTCTGTCATGCTGTACCTTCTCAGAAATCAAACCTGGAATTACAATGGCACCTTGCTACTCTCCAAATGAACATGGGAATTTTGTCTTTCTACCTATGGTTGAGAACCTCATGATCAGATTGCTGCCTCAGGCCTGCCCGTATTCTGTTACCTTAAGACAATGTTTCTGAGGATTTGTTTGTTGCTTTTTTTTTTTCCTCCCCAGTTAATTTGTTGGAGACTTCCAGCAACAATCTTCAGGTATTCTCAGGACATGACAGCTGGACTTTGCCATCCTCCCCACATGCTAATTTGCTCTCAGTGCCACACACAAAGGGAGGTGCCAGCCCTGGACCCAGGTAAGGTTACAGGAAAATTGCTGGTATGAGGAGCACTGAGGCTTTTATGACTGCCCTAGTGATTCACACTTTGTCCCAAGCTTTAATTGGTGTCCGGGATTTTAAACGTGTCCTAAGTACCAAAATCAAGATTCCTGGACAGATCTTTCTGACAAGCTAGTTATCTCCTGCTCTGAAATCAATGGGAGCTTAATTTTTCCCCAGCATTGCTGAAAACTAGGATCTTGGAACAGCCACAGAGAACTCTGGTATCTACAGTCTGTGATCATTGTAAAGCTAAATTACTTTTCTCCATTTATTCCTCACTGTTCTCCTGCATGAGAGCCTATCTAGGAGTGGATGGAATTTAGACCTCGAGAGTCAATTAATTATCAGATATTGTCCCTTCTTTTCCCCAAATGAACACACACATTTCTTCTCTAACTTAGGTGCCAGGAAAATCAGCTGCAATTCTCAAAACTTTATAAGCATTCACAACAAAGATCTTGAAGTTTTGAAACCTCATATCTATTTGTGTATTTCTCTCCATGCCTTTGTCCAAGGTCATCAGGTGTGATGGTGATTTTTCACTTAAGATCTGCAGGGCTGATCTAGTTTAGTAGCTCAATTTGAATAGCTGATAATGCAATTGACTTTATTGTGGCAAGTCTTATGGAGGGGAAAATGCTTTGAAATAAGTCATTCAATTTGTACTGCTTTTTTTCCAGCCACTACCCTTGCCTGTGGACAGTGAGCAACAGTGCTGTAAATGTTGCCAACCCAGCAAGCGAGGTAAACAGCAGCCCTTCAAGCATGTTTCTAAGGGGTAATGTCCCCTTACCAGCTTCATCATCAGTCCAAATCCCTCTGCAGGGAATGGTGTCTGGCAGCATGGAAACGCAAGGGGAAAGCAGTCTAGCCAGACTAGCCGACTCTGCATGGACATCCTTACACTCCTTTTAATGGACAGGCAGGGCAGGAGGGAAGCTCAGCCAAACAAGACTGACACAAATGGCAAACGATCCCCTAGAATTGCAGCACAGAGCAGAAGGTATGCAGAAAAATGACTTCATCAAACCTCACTTTCCATAATGTATCTCTTGTGTGCCAGTGAAGCCAAAATGCAAAGGCAGGAAATGTTATGAGAACCTGCTTATTACTGTAACCTTTATGCATCATTCAGAATGATGCCCAGAAAGAGTCTTTTTAGTCAGTTTTGCTTCTATGCCACATTAAAAATGGTCAGAGACATGGGACTGAGTGAAGCAGACATGGCAGCTGGATATTTGCATGTCATTTTAGAAGCCTTTTCTGTAACTAATAGTCAAGTCCAGTGGAAATTGTGATCAAGTTCACAACTGGTTATTTGAGGGGACATTGCTGCTTTAAAGGCTTTCTGAATCTCTTATATGAAGGTTTTCACAATACCTGAGATTAAACCCTTCAAGGGATGAAATTAGTCTAACTTCCTTGTGCCACCTGCATACACTGTGCTCTGTCCCCTTCCCTTCTCGAGCTCTTGTTTGCTGTTTGTGTTCCGTAGGGATAGTGCACACACTCAAGCTGAGAAAATGGCTGCATTGTAGCAGCAGGGCTAAGGGCAGCTAGTTTAGCATTTAGAATCTGGTGTCACAGTCCTTGAAATGGAAAGTTCCAGTGTTTCCAATATGTGCTATTTTTGAAAGGGTGGAGGGGAAAAGAATTATAGAAAAAAATATTCTGCTTGCATTTCCACTTTGCTTCAGATGTGGAGTACAAATAAAATATGAATAAACGGTGTATTATCTTCTCAGTGCCTCTCCAAGTTTTAAACACACATACAGTCTTTTTCACCTAACAAACTGAGCTATTTAAAGCAGCTCTACTTGAAGCAAGTTGATGAAACAGGAATTTTCTATTCCTTGTCCAGTGCCTGGCTGTATGCTCTTGGGCATGGTATTTCATGTCTTTGCACCTGTTTCCCCTCTCACCTTTTGTCTGCTTCAGCTTCCTTTTTCAGGCTTTTCCTATCCCATATGAGTGTACAACACATAGCATCGTGAAGGCCTAATCCTGTCTGGGATTTCTAACCACTACTGTGATGCACGTAACAGTAGTCATCCCCCATCTTCCTTATCCTTTCATGTATCTCCTCAGGCAAGCCCTATCAGCTTCTCAGAGAAGAATGCTGCTGTTTGATCTCTTGAAAAGAAAAAAATTGCAGGCTAAGTCATGTAGATATTTCTTTGTATAATGAAATGCCCAGCAGCAATTCATTTCTGTTTACAGCCATGAGCACTGATAGGGGACAATCCTCAACACGGGCGTTGAAGAGGATTCTCCAAAGCTCCTGTGAGCTGGTGTTTCTGCTCTGCTAGATACAGCAATATACCCTTTGTGAACACTCATTTATTACATACAAGCTCTGGGAGCAGCATTTTATTTTGGGTAGACATTAGATGCAGCAGCAAAACGAGCCTTTTCATTCAGGTCATCAAATGTGCATCTATCTGGTGAACTCAGCAAGCTCCTGTTTTGTATTCTATTACCTGGCCTTGAACCACATTTTCATGACTCCCCCATCTGGCTTTTCAGATTCACTGCATTATACACCTGGTAAAACTGTTAGTTTTGCTGACTTGTGCTGCTATCCCCTAAAATCAAAGTAATGAAGTTACTTTGGACGTGCATTTTTATTCATACAGACATTGGTCAAACAGGAGCTAACAGAGTGCAAAAAGCTCTCTGTCCTGCTATCAGTCTAATCCTTTTTAGTTATGACTGTAAATCTGCCTTCCCATATTCTGACAAATGCTTGGGGATGAGTTTCTCAAAGTTATATTTCTCTACCTTGCAGCCAGAAATGTAAGCAAGTGTTTCTCTCAAATATACCTCTTTTTTACAAATGAGGTTTATTAACTAACTTATACTACCCTCTTCTGGCTGTTTAGCTCCCCACAGACACACCACACACAGAGTCTGTATGAGATGGCTATAGATGCTAAAAAACAGCAAGTGGTGACTTCTCTGTGTTCCAGGACTTGCAATGTTTCCTTCATGGTTAACAAGTTGGATAATTTCTTAGTTATCCCATGTACTGCATTACAGTAGTACAAAGGTGATTATAAGGTGTTACACAAACTGCATTTTCATTTCAGAAATAAACAATCCAGGAGAAAATCTAATTAGCTTTCCTGGTAGTCCCATGGGATTGAAAGGACAAAAAAGTATCAAAGTGAACAGGGAAAGTAATTTTTCTTCCTTACTTCTGTAAGAGAAACCATGATCGACATTGCAGGAGGCAAGAACTTCTGAGATTTCAGAAACAGGCTAAGTTTTTATCATTGCAGACAATCTGATTTAGCCCAAGCCTGAGAAATTACACGGGGGGATAAAAACACCCCTGGCTGGCTCACTACTCTTGGCCCTGTCTCAGTACAAACTGGCATCTGTAGCCCAAAGGCCCTGGGCCTGAGGACAGCAGGGAGTATGCTGATCTTGGGTTTAGTGTTGGGGAGTCCTGAGAGGAGCAGGGAGTTGGACTCCATCCTTATGTGTACCTTCCAACTTGAGATCTTCTGTGATTCTATTCTACGATTTTGCCACCTAGATAAAGAATTGGAGATTTGGTATTTGGCTTGGACAGATTACTTCTAAGCAGTGGAAGCACTGGAGATAGCTTTTGCTATTTGTTCACAAGAAAAAACTGCAGTTTTAACTGTGCAGATCTCCTTTCCCAGCACAGTGGACTTCCCTAAAGCACAGTGACAGGCTGGGCTGCCGACTGCACTGTTCTTCTGTGGGAGGCAGATTCTCTTAAACTGTGTATAAAACTGTTTCCCTCTGTATAAGCCATTATTGTGGATTTGGTTTTGCACCTATAGTGCACTTGTTTCCCAGCAGATTTCTACCTGCCATTGAAAAGCACACAATAATAATTTCTGAATGAATATTTCAGTGGTTGTTGTAAGCAGTAACTGAAATGGCAGCAAGAGAAGAGAGCAAACAGCCTCCCTCCCCAGTTTTTATATATTTTGACAAAGTCACTTCTTCACTTTGTGGAAAAGAAATGCACTGAGAGACTAGAAAAGTTCTTTTGAGGTCTCCAGAGTAGATATGCTACCTGATATTAATGACATAGTTCATATTTCTTAACTTAACTAGATTACAGGGTCTACACTGTAGGTTTTTGTCCTGACAGAAGCAACGCTGAATTTGTGGGTTGTTACCCTCAGGCCTCTCACCTGGACAGCCAAAGGGCAAGGGCTTGAGGACACAGCTCCATACAAATCTCCATGTGATTAGAGGGAGCAGCCATTTGTTTTCAGTTTCTGCAGGGCTTTAGCGCTGTACTCAGCTACCAAACATGAGGTTGCAGAGTGGTTTGTGTGACACCCCATTTAACTATATTCAAAAAGAAGTGGGGGGAAGTGGTTAATAAAAGCAGAAGATCTAGAGGGTAAGAAAACCCCCAACCAAGCAACCAACCAACCAAAGAAACAAAAAAACCCAAACCCCCAAATTTAAGACAGTTTGTTTGCCTCTGATGCCACACTTTCTACTCCTGTAGCAGGTCCTCAGTGGCCCTGCTCCCAGCAGCAGTGCTGAGCAAGGGGGGAGGGAGAGACATTGCACTCGGTGGCTGCTGCCCTTTAATCCCTTCTGTGGGCTTCAGCTGCTCTTGAATCAGGGCTTCTCCTCAGCTTTCCAACCCTTTCCTGGTACTGCCAGGCTGCATCTCCCTCCAGGCTGAGGCAGGTGCCTTCTGTGTCAGCCTTTTTGTCAGCCTTTTCCCTTGGTATTTATTTTCCTGGCACTTGGGCAGAGGTCTCCCAGGGAGGCAAGAAAGCACCCAAGGACCTGTGCAGAAGTTTTTTCCTCGAAGAGCAGCCCACAGCTCTCCAGATAGCTCTGGTTTTAAGACAACAAGAGAGGCTGATGCCTGCCCATCTCTGTGCAGTGTGGTGGGCACACTCAGCAGCCCGGATTTTGTCATCCTGAAAAGTCACCTCCCCTGTGCTTTGCTGGGTCTCTTTCCAAGATGGGCTGTTCCAGCTCACACACCTCACCTGTGGCCAACAGAGGGGATTAACAAACGGTTTCAGGTGTTCTCATCCACAACTACAGAGTTTTATGGGAATGTCCCTATCCTCCCTTGCAGGCAGAAAACCAGAGAGCAAACACCAGCATCCTGAATTGCCCAGCACCATCCCAGGTGTTCCTTGGTAACCCAGCCCTGGGTGCCTATCAACAAAGACATCTGTGGCTCTGTTGCCAGCAGAGAACAAGCAGCAGGTAATTTCCTCAGATGAGATCTTCCCCCTTCACAGCCTTGTCCTGCCCTGTTGCCCACCCTGAGAAGGCTATAACCTGCCCTCCCCAGGAAATCCTGTCTCTGTGCTTGCACTGGATGCCATATGGATGGCCACCACCTCTACAGGTCTTCCTGCTTCATCTCTCAGAGCAGACATAGCAGAGGTGCTTTTGAGTTCTCAGATCATCAAGAGCTCTCAGGATTACAAATTGTCAGGTACTTTTGGGATTGTTCAGTGAGGATGTTCCACCTGCTGTGGAAAATTGTCTGGTTTTTCCTAGCATGTACTGATACAAAAAACTGCTGGCATTTTGAGAAGGCTGGGTGTTTGACAAGGCACAGGATAAAAGCCCTGCTGTGTGGTACAGTTCAGCCAAGTTTGTAGTGAATAGAACAAATCCAAATGCCACAGCCTGGTTCCCAAAACACTTCCTAGGCAAGGGCATATCTGTAAAGGCCACTTTTGCCAACAAAACTCTGCAGTGCCTTCTGTACTCATCTGGGGCATTGGCTCAACACCAACTGAGGCAGAAGGGTGCTTCATTGTGAAACTCTAGCATGACTGCTGGGGGGATCTTATGTTCTCTCTGTGACTCACTCTGAACTGTTTTGCTTGCCTCAGTGTTATACTCACACAACAAATCCAAATCAACAAGACAAAAAGCTTTTGGAAAAATCCTGCCTTTCTTCTGTTTATATATGCCATTGCATGACAGTTATGACTTTGCTCTTTGGATGCTGTATCTCTAAATGTCTTATGCTCTCTTCTATTCCTGAGTTGTTCCAGAGGGAAATATGAAATATAGAAGGTGTAGACTGTGCCTCTTGTCCAGAGGAGTAAGGCATTATCAGAGCAGAAGTGTGGCAGTTTAACCAAGAGGTGGGTGTGATTGTGAAGCCCTGCTCCATATGAGATAACTGGCAGACTGAAGGGCTCAGCTGACTCTAGTGGGG